TGGCATATTAAACAAGTTATATGAACCCAGCGGTGGCGGAATATTGAACCCTTGTTGACGAGAAACCGAAGACGACGCTGAAGAGAAGGCCGAGGTTGAAGAAGGCTGCACCGGAGAGGACAAGGGCGCCATAGTTGTCTGGCTTGAAGCCGAAGATAAAGCAGGCGCGTTGAGGCTGCTGCTACGATGGAAGAAGTGGCCATGGCGGAAACGCAGTGGCATTGACGTGCGGCTAGGTTCACGAAAGAAAAACTAGGGAAACCTAGGCATCTTATACCATATGAAAAAATAATTGGGAAATAATGGCACACTCTCTTGGGGTGTCCGCACGCGTTTAGGAAAGGGTCAATTGAGTACATCAACTTGTATGAGGTGGAGTAAAGAGTACACCATGTTGCATTTGACATTCGTAAGTACATAAACTCGGGGTTTTAGTGTTAATTGAGTACACTCGTTAGATTAACACGTTAATATGGGTGAGTTAGAGTAAAAAGGGGTAATCGATCACGGCTATGGCGCCGACCTTCATGAAGTCGACCAAAAAGGGAAAATTGATCTTCGTAGGACAACCTGCGGGGGGGGGGGGGGGGGGTGATTAACGGGAAGTCGACCAAGGGGGGTGACATTGATCGAGGAAAAGTCAACGAATAGGCTGAGGGCTAGCTTCAACCTTTAGGAAGTCAACCTATTAGAATTTTGTTGGCCAACTCAGATGTATTAATGTGTTAATCTAATGGATGTACTCAATTAACACTAAAAACCTGAGTTTGTGTACTTTGAAACATCAAATGCAATATAGTGTACTCTTTATTCCACCTCATACAAGTTCATGTACTCCATTGACACTTTCCTCTATATTATTAGAAGGGAGTAAATTGTTGAAGCTGAGAAATGGAGTTTTTTTATTTCTCAATAAGAACATGAATCATTAAGACCAACAAGATACAAAATCTTTCTCGAGCAATTGTTGATAAAGATCATTTATAGTGCTAGTGCATTTCCCACAAGTGCTGCTTCGCCCTCCATATCCTGGTTCTCTCTCGCTGAATGCCTGAACCCAATCGAGGTCTACTAACTGTGAACATATTGAGAAAAGAGTACTCCAATATGAGTCTCGACATGTCTATATATAATAAGAGAGTTCAACATACAAAAGGAAACAAATATTCCTAAATATATTTTAGGAAACAAATATTCCTAAAATATATTCTATTAAAGCACGGCTCCTGAAACCTAGTGCAAACCTCTGCTCCCATCTGCGCGAAATTCCCAACAGAGACGATCTTAAAAAAGTTAAAGTATTCATTAACCGCTTGTTACCAAAGAAGTAGCACTTCCTTTTAAACAAATATAATGATTGTGTTGAAATATAGTTAATTAGTCATCTTCTATTGTTCATGATTAGAAGAATTGTTATGGGATTATGTCATGAATATTACTAATTAAAAGAGTTTGGACAAGTATAGGACCTTTTCCAATGATTCCCAAAAAAGAGACCATTCGTATACTCAATAAGTAAGTTTGGGATGAAATTGTCAAATATACCTTGCCTAACTAATTAATACTCCGTATGCAGCAAACAATTTTATTTGCCTATGTATCATTCTTCTTAGTTGTTTCCCCTGAAAAATGCTATAGGCAAGACACAAAAAATTGACTTTTATATCCTTTCCCCAAATTAAATTTATTCGGTGATGATTTACAGTTGCTTGATCCGACCAGTTATAACTATGCGTTCAAATAATTACACTTATCCACTCAACCAGTTACAATTACAGAATTACTCATCAGGGGTGGGATCACATGCAAACTAGTCTTCCCATGCTAACCTACAAACTATCACAAATTGTGCATCTTTACATTATTTGTACTGCATATTGAAGTTCAAAGTGTTGCACATTATTTGTACCGCATATTGTAGGTCAAAGTGTTGCATATTATTTGTATTACATATTAAAATTCACGGTGTGCATCTTTACATTATATGTACTGCATATTGAAGTACAAAGTGTTGCATATTATTGAGTTTGTAGGTTAGTATTTTAAGCATGGTTTGTATTTGATCTCTTGTCTTACTCATCATCAGTTACAGTTACTCGCCCGACCAATTATAGTTACATGTCCGACCAGTTACAGTTACCCGCCCAACCAGTTACAATTACCTATCATCAGTTACAATTACTCGCTCGACCAATTATAGTTACATGCCTGACCACTTACAGTTTCCCGTCTCACCAGTTATAGTTATGTGTCGCCAATTACAGTTCCCGATTTGCCAGTTACAATTACCCGATTCGCCAATTACAGTTATCCGACCCGTCCAATTACAATTACCCGACACGACCAATTACAGATATCTGAGCCGATCAATCACAATTATTTGACATGTTTGGTTATAGTTATCTGGATTGTTCGGTTATATTTACCTGTACCGGTCAATTAAAGTTACCCGATCCGATAGCGACAACCGTTAGCAACCACCACCGTTTAACGCCGTCGCCTGCCATTTTTGCCGGTGCCTCGCTCCCTCCCCGCCCCTCTCCGGCGGCCAGCCTCCCCAAACAATCTCTAACCCCACCCCAACCCTCTGCCACCGTCTGACACCGGCGATCGCCGCTGTCCATCATTGCCCCTGCCCAGCCCCTTCAAGGTTCAAATCATAGATCTAAATGAGCCTCCAACGGTGAAGATGACGAAGACGATGAAGAATTTTCCGAGATCTAAAAGCGAAGAAGAAGGTGAAGAGGAAACAATCACCGTCGGGTGCGTACAACACCGCAATTGTCATCTCCGTAGAGCTCTGTCGCCATCTTTGAAGAGCTCCATTGCTGTAATATGCGGAGAGGGCCCTATCGTTTCCTCATCGTTGCTGAGTGTGGACATCATCTTCAATGAGCCTTTTGAAGAAGGGAGATCGGTGCGGCGCAGCTCTCGAGATTGATCAGATGCTTCAACGAAGATGGGTAGTTCTTCGACGAAGATGGGTAGCGAACAGGCAATTGGGGGACCTGGGAGTTAGGTTCCAGGGACATTTGAGACATTTCACATTTTTAGTCCTTTTTTGTCATGAACGAAAAGTAGTTCCACTTTTGTCTAATCAAAACCTAAAAGTCTTACTTTTGGCATTTTTTAAATTATTATCATTATTATCAAAGAATTATGAAATCATAATTATGATTATAAGTTGATAACCATGTGACTCAAAATTATCCCCTATTCCAAATGAGTTTTACTTTTCTCTTATAAACATGAGTTTTCTCCTTCTGATATATATTATATAATAGTCAATACAAGAACAATCGTGTATTATTAATATAGTCTACCCTGATTTTCTGCTTATTTCTTTCCATTTCACAACAAATTATATACAATATAATTTCTCTTTTTATGCCACGACACTCAACAACCGAGGCCATACAAGAATGCGTCAACTATTGAGGAATTAAGCTTATGAGTCACACAATGAAACTTTGGGAGCGAGTGATCGAGCAAAGACTTCTTAAAAGTGTGAAAATTTCTGAAAAGCATTTGGTTTTATGCCAGGACGCTCAACAACTGAGGCCATTACCTTCTTAGACAATTTGTGGAGAAGTATAATGACACTAAAAAGGATCTTCATTTGGTGCTCATTGACTTAGAAAAGGCATATGATAGGGTACTTCGAGAAGTCCTTTGGTGGGCCTTAACTAGAAAAGGCATATCACATAAGTATATCAGTATCATGATGGATATGTATGATGCTTCTATTACAAGTGCCCGCACTAGTGTAGGGAGACCGCAAAGTTCCCTATTACTATCTGTTTGCACCAAGGATCTGCTCTTAGTCCTTTCTTATTTGTTATAGTCATGAATGAACTCACGAAGTCAATTCAAGAAGAGATAGCGTGGTGCATGATGTTTGCCGACGATATTGTATTGAGTGATGAGACGCAATCCGGTGTTAAAGCAAAGTTGGAAAGTATGGCGAATTGGCGACAAACATTGGAGACCAATGGTTTCAAATTGGGCCGAAGCAAGACTGAGTATATGGAGTGCAAGTTTGGTGGAGGTAGAAGTAGTAGCAACAGTGAAATTATTCTTGATGGTAAGGAGATACCAGTGTGTGATATGATTCGTTATTTGGGCTCCATAATTCAGAAGGATGGTGAATTAGATGGAGATGTATGCCATATAATCAGAGCTTAGTGGATGAAAGAAATGGAAGAGTCCATTGTGATTTCTATGTGATTGAGGTATGCCGACTAGACTGAAATGTAAATTTTATCGAATAGCAATTAATCATGAATTAATGTATGGCGTAGAATGTTGGACGGTGGAGCAATGTTACATTCAAAAGATGAGTGTGGTAGAGATGCGTATGTTGCGTTGGATGTTTGAACATACACGAAAAGACCGCTTGAGGAACGAGATAATTAGACAAAAGGTGGGAGCACCACCTATAGAAGATAAGATGTAGAAATCTCGTTTGCGATGGTTTGGGCATGTGCGTAGAAGATCGAGTGATGCACCTGTTAGAATACTTGAGGGGTGGGGGGGAAGAGGCAATGAAGAGAGGAAGGGTAAGACCCAAACGGACTTGGATTAGAGGAATCAAAACTGATATGTGTCTTCTTAGGTTGAATGAGAGTATGGTTTTCGAGAGAACAAAGTGGAGGGCGTACATCCGTGTGCACGATTGATGTCTTTTATACCTTTCCTCTTTCTTTTCTTTTATCGTTCATCTTCTTCGTCTTTTTACATTCTTATGTTTTTTTTATCTTCTAGCTTTTTTATGTTGTTTTATCTTTCTATCTTATATCCTTCTTATCTTCTTATGTTATTCTTATCTTATATTTATTTATTTTTATTTTATCCGTCTTATCTAACTTTTTTCCGTTTATGTTCGTCTTCTCAATTTGGCATCAATATCATAGATCGATTCGTATTATCCGATCTCAATTTGTTTTGAAATTAAGACTTGATGTTGTTGCTCTGGTATAATTTCTCTTTTTAATCTAGTCTAGGTTATAAAAAAGTAATTTTACTTGTTTTCGTTTTCCCCATGCTTTTGAAACTTCCCTTTGATCCTTCTTTCTTCTTTGCGTTGCATTCGCCCAGTTCCTTGACTTCCACACGGACGCTCAACTGACCAAGAAAACTGAATTGGATAAAGTTTATCTGACTAGCAGAACTGAAGGGAATTGGCCAACCTCGTCACGTTCATCCTCAGCTGCATAGCAATGGCGGCAATGGTAGCTCTGCAGAGCTCTCTTACGTCTCTTTCTCCCTCCTCCAGCTCCTTCATAGGTCAACGTCTCTCCCCTCTTAGCTCACCTCCGGTATGTACGCCCCCCTTCTGTGAAATTATTTACCAATTTTGGACATGGCGGCGCTAATCACTGGTCATTTGTGATATCTTGTAAACTATCTCGCTATTCTTGACTCCGGTCGCTAAAGTATAGCGGAATCGTCCTCAAAAGCGTTTGTGCGTATTAAGATTCTGGCTTAATAATAATTGCTCATGGATCAATAGGCTATCCTAAAAAGTTGTAGTCTTTAGTAAAGCATGAAGTATCCTTATCATTGGATTATAGCCATGATATTGGGGCTAGAAATGCTACTTATGCAATACTAGGTGATGAAAAAGGGGCTACTAATCTAAAAAATGTGATATTTAATGTATTGTAGAATCACGAAAATCAATTTCTAACCACAAAGAAACTGTGCTATGTTCCAGTTATGTAGCATTGCTCGTTCAGTTTTGAATTCTCCTTCATTTTCCCCGCTTGCCACTGAATATATGGGAATTAATCAATTGACCTTTGAGAGATGTTTAAAAGGACTTAATTTGACCAAACTAATAGGCAAGTCTAATATAAGGGAAACTCAGAAGGCAAATGATCAGACAAGATTCAGGGTTTGTTCTGATGTTTGAGTTAAAGCTACTACATTTTCTAAGGTGAAATGGATCTGATGAAAATACTTCTACTAAAAATAATGGTAAGACAAATTTTAGAAGAACCTGTTGGGGGTTCTCTCAGAATTACTTAATGCTTTTTACCTATGTGAAGGAACATATAAAATGCAAGTCAAACAGTCATTTCGTGCATCAAAGTCACCTCTTCCGTAGCACTTTTAGAGTTTAGGCCACGGAGAAGTATACCCAAACATGATCCAATTCGTGAAACTGTTTGTGTTCCGCAGGTTAGGTTACCAAATGCTTGTTTAAACTCCATCTCTCATCAAATTTTAGATAGTCTTCTCTCAGTTTCTTAACCGGTGGATTTTTGTAGTTATTAGAGTGAACTATTTCCTAATAAGTTTTTTCAATAAGTCAACCATTCTCTCATTTCAGCTGCAAAAAGAAAAAAAGAAGAAGTTTAGGCTGAAATGCCGAAATGGTACATCAACTATTGGTACTGATTCATATATGAACGAAGCTTGGTTTAAAAAAGCGCGCCTGAGGCGCGCAAAGGCGCTAGGCGCCCTAATGCGTTCACTTCATCGCATCTAAAAACCCCAGGCGGCGTAGGTTCCAAGAGGCGCGACTTATGCGGCGCTTTTTGACGCCTTTTGCGCGTCTGAGAGGCGCGCGCTTCTCACGCCTCGTAGAATTCTCTTTTGGCGATTAAGTCTCTTCTAGTTTTCTGTTCTTCTTCCTTCTGCGGTAGCTGTTTCTTGCTGTCTCGCGCTCAAGACTTGCAAGTCCTATTTCTTCCGCTGCTTTCTGGCATCGCAAAACTCGCAGGTAAGTTTGTTTCTTCTTGTTCTCTTATGCGTGTATTAGTTTATTAATTAAGTACTCCGTATGTTTTATTTTATATTTTTTTTTGCTGCTTATTATTTTATATTTTATAACCTTGAAATTGTAGAGTTACTACCTCTATCGGTCTGTTTTAAATCAGGCTGAGTAGGGTACCTAAATATTTGTTTTTAATTGTCAAATATATAAGATATTTTTATTTTATTTTATATAATACCATAGTTTATTATTTACGTTTTGAAGTTTTAAAATTGAGTTTTTTGTCTTGACTTTTAGCAATGATGCTGTTTAATATATATTTCTTGCTTTTGTCTTAATAATACGAGTATTTGGTTTCTCTTATGATGTTTATTAAGATTGTTTAATAGTTTGAATTATTTTGGTGATGTTATCAATTTTTGAGAAGAGTGCTTCATGTAAAAGTAGTATAAATATATTTTACCAAAGATATGACTAAGATCCGTGAGGCGGGCGCCTCGCCGCCTAGCGCCTCGCGCCGCCTCGCGCCGCCTCGCGCCTTTTAAAACTAAGGAACGAAGTAAATTAAATCCAAGTACATTTAGATGTCTTAGTCGATCGTTCTGTTTGGAATTCCGGCAAAAAATGTCTTAGCCCATGGTTCCTTTTGAAACTTTCTGCCAAAATAGTCCTACTTTGGCCAATATTTACGTGCATTCCCCAATAACTATGTGTAATTATTTATTTAATAAATCTCGGTTAGAGTTATCCACCTCTTAGCTCACCGGTTTTAGTAGTTTTCTCTGGGTAATAGAAAAAATTAATCCACCGAGTTGATGATGTCATCACAAGTAATGTACGATTCTCATGTATTCCAATGATTAGGCGAGCTTGTCTGGTTTTGTTTTGAATTGGTCAGACCGTCAGAATAGATTTGCCAAATTTTGATTTGGTGAGGTCAGCTGAAGCAATTACATGTACTTGGGGTACTGCTTTGTTTCATCTAATAGTAGAGATATTAAAGCACAAAAATACCAACACCAAGTCACCAATATCAGTAGTTCTGATGCCATTTATGCTATTTAACGGATTGTTATTTAGGTACTCTCCATAGTTATATGCACTAAAACTATGGTTGTTTAGTATTCAATTTTATTCGTTACAATGTGTAATAGGTAATAACAGGCTTTTGGTGATAATCTTCAGGTTAAGCCAATTCAGAAGTCTTATGCCATTGCAGCAAAGGTATGTATTTGCACTGTTTATTTTTTTATGTGGTTTTAACTTTCTGGTTTCCTCTAAAGTTTATTAAGTTTTCTGATATACTGCGTGTGCTTATATATGTCCCTTCTAAAAGTTCTAATATGATGCATTCATAATACGCAAAAACAAATATGCATTCTTCATGCTTTTCCTCTTTGAGTCAGTGTGAGGTATGGATGTATGGTGTGTATTCAACTGGAGACAGCAAATAAATAAATAAATAAATAACTGAAATGACATCCTTTTAAATTTTGATATTTGGATGAGCGGGACATAAACATTAGTACATTACCTGGAACTAATAGATTGAGAGGCAGCGGATTTATCGCCGTTCACTCTATAATACTCCGTATTTGTTTTTATGTATTAGATATACTTTTCAGGCAAAGTGAGTATTAAACCCACTTCGGTAAGGCCTAAAATGTTGAGGTGGTCTGTTTATCTATAAGGAGAAAGTTATTTAAAGCTGAAGGCAAAAATGTTATTTGCTTTGATTTCAGCCATTTCTGAAGCAGAGTAACTTCATCTCTGTTTGTTTTCATTATTATTGTGCCATAGCAATAAAATAGGTTAGTGGTTAGTAAAAAAGGCTGATATGGCTGATAAGACAGAAAAGATGGTATGCCAAAAGGACCCTTAATTTGTTTCTGCTGTTCTAACATTTTCAAACAATCTGCAAATACTTGATGAATTAATAATGTGCATATCGTTACATATGAGCAGCTTAGGAGATGGGAGCGCAAAGAGTGCAAGCCAAACAGCCTTCCTATGCTACACAAACTACATGTTAAAGTTGGTGATACAGTGAAAGTAATAGCAGGGCATGATAAAGGTAAAATTGGAGATGTTGCCGAGGTTATAAGGCATAACAGCAAAGTTATCGTGAAGGACATTAACTTGAAGACCAAGCATGTGAAAAGCAAGCAAGAGGGTGAATCCGGTCAGATAATTAAGGTATGTTTATGACTTTACCTCCTCCTTCTCAAAAAGAAAAAAGAAAGAGCAATGTTTCAAAAAAAAATTGATGTTACAAAATGTCTAGTTTGGTTAAACGAAACCAACTTTCATGTAATTTTACAAAAGAAAGTTAAAAACTAGTAATGTTCCATTCTTTGATTAAAATAGTTCACAATACAAATAAGGTTTGTTAAATTGACTTGTACATGGACCAAACATGACTTTTTGTGTGTTTGGGGGGGGACTAGATTTCTCAAGTTCTTTAATCTTTTTCGTTGTCAAGTTGTGTTTGGAAATCCATTTTGTGGTTCAAGAATATAAACAAAATAGTACTCCCCCCAGTTAATGATAAGTGACGTTTTGTGCAATATAATCTTTACTCCATAATTTACTCTTCATTCGCTACTTCATTTACTTGCCTGCTAAATCATAATTGTGGTATTATGAGTCGTCTTCACTAATTGGAGAGAGAATATAGATTCAGGGTGTTTAACCTCTCAAAATGGCACTTCTTTTGTAACTTCAGGGAGTAAATATGATGACGATGCAGCAACCTTTTTTATAATTTTTCAGATTGAAGCACCCATTCATAGCTCAAATGTGATGCTCTACTCAATGGAGAAGCAAGTAACAAGCAGGGTGGGGCATAAAACACTAGAGAATGGGAAACGGGTCCGCTACCTAGTCAAAACCGGTGAAATTATAGACAGTGCAGAGAATTGGAAGCGAGTGGTGAAAGAAAAGGAAAAATCAAAAGAAGAAACTACTGCTGCTGTTGCTTCTTCTTCTTCTTAGAGTGCAGCAACCTCCAAAATTTCTTTTGCATCCCTTCTTTCTCTTCTATGCAGTTTGTTCTTAAATCTTGACTCTCGATTCCAAAAATGTCCAAAGTCTAAAATAGCTGTATGGCATTTTATTTGTTTAAAACGGTAAATCAGAACATATGAGATCAAATAGTTCCCCACTCCTTCCACATTCGGTTAAAGGGGTGTTAACGGTGTTTGGATCTGCTTCTGAAAGGAGTAGGATCAGATTTTGGAGTGTTTGGGTGGAATTGTAGAAGTACTTCTTAGGCCTCAAAACTGCTCCTAGAATCAGATTTTCAGAAGTTGGAAGACTAGCTTCTCAAAAACTAATTTTGATATACTGCATTGAAAAAGAAAGAGAAGCGTAATCAATTCCAAACACCCTAAGTAAAGTAAAGTTACAAAACTGGTGAACAGTGCTACAAAAGAAGATTCAAACTATACATATGAAATGTTTAGTTGATGAAATCATGAGTGAATTCGCTTAAGGATTGACTACACACCAGTAGCAGTAGTTATTTGCCAAGCATGGGTTGACGGAGCCGAAATAAAAGGAGTCCTTTGCACATTTAAATTACAAGCAATTGTTATCTGCCCTTTATTTTTGGAAAGAATGACGGAACTAACGGAAGTAAGACTTCCAGGTTTCTATATTAGATGCAAACAGACATAAATATCCCTGATATAAATAATTAACAAAATCCTAAATATCATACATTTACATTTGTTCTTTGCGCATCTTCCATCTCCCATACCTCTCTGCCACCGTGTATACCTCATTACCACAGTCGCCTATTCATCGTCGTTTGTTTGCCACCACTGCCTATTCGTCGTCGACGCCGTCTCCGCTTCATCCTCTCTTCTTCTTCTCCTTTCTTTCATCGCCTTCGTCACCGCAAACAACTGCCATCCCAACCTAGGTGAACGTTGACGAAGATCTGAGCCCCATCTCTCTGGTAAGCTTGAAGGAATCCAAATTGGTGGTGTTAGGGTTTTAATTTTCTGATCAATGACTATGATAACAGGATGTTGGTGAGATGTCACCACGGATGACATATCACTTCCGGGGAGGTTAATGGAAAAAGGGTAGGTGGTGGTGGGTCACAGGGACACTGGCAGGTTACAAGGGTTGAGGGAGGGAGGCGTGGGGCTAGGGAGGTGCTGGGCGGTGGCAAGGGAGGACTTGGGAGAGGCTGTGGAGCTGGATGGGGCTAGGGAGGGGGGGTTAGGGTTCAAATTGTGGGGTTGTCACCAGTGGTGTTGAGGCGGGGACAGGCGATGGCTTGCGGCGGTGGCGGGGGTGGATGGAGGTGTAATTGTGCGGAGATATTGGAAGTTTGGTCATGTGATTGTAGCTTGTAACTGTATTATTGGTAACTGGATAGTTGGTCACTGACTGAATATTAGTCATTGTAGCTCCGAGGGGGTGATTTCGATGATCGGGGCGATGGTTAACCTAATCTGGTGTTGGTCAGTGTAATCAAGTGTTGGTCATTGTGGTCGGTGACGGGGTTAGTAACTGTGATTAGCGATTGTCAATGGACGGAGGTCACTATATCGATTGGTCACTGGACGGAAATCACTGTGGCAATTGGTCACTGGCTCACTCCACATAAGTCTGTGTATTAGGGGTAATTTGGTAAGATGTTTTATGTTTAGTCTTTTGGGATTTTAAAGAAAATGTCTCTTTTTTTGTGCAAATGCTCTAAATTAGTAATATTAATGGATAACCCCCTTATTTTTGTTTGCCGCGGGTTAACCCCGTCAGAAGAATCTATAAATTTCGTTTGAATAAATAAATAATTGATCAAGAATGATTAGTAATAAACCATTGGTTTTACAATTACATTAACTAGTATCTTTACTTCTGCCGCGCATAGGACAAAACGATTTTGTTTTAATTTTAGTATATGTGTGTGTGTAACTCCGCCACGAGATCAATTTTTTTGTTTCATGCATGTCCCAAACCAGGATAAAAGAGGAGGGTGTTGTGGTAGGCGCGTGACGGCCAACAGTATCACCTAGTCACATCACATGACATGAATCGAAATATGAATATCGCTATAGCTAGGTCGTCGCTCGTAAGCGACGTGTCATCCCTCCGCCTGGGGGTGGTGTCAAATATGCGAGGGCGCGCTACACTTCATAGGCCTGGGTGTGGTGATAAGAATGCTAAGGTTGCTAGGTCGTCGCCCGGAAGCGGCGTGTCATCCCATTGCCCGAGGATGATGTCAAATATGCAAGGGCATGGTGGGGTTCGAGGTGGGGCTAAGAACAGAGGGTGGAGTGCTAGATTGCGCTTTGGGAGGTGGAATGTTGGGTCTCTTACAGGCAGATCTTTCGAGGTAGTCGAAGTTATGAGGAGGAGGAATATCGGCATTATGTGCGTGCAAGAAACTAAATGGGTTGGAGAGAAAGCACGTGAGATTAATCTCGGAGGTTTTAAGTTGTGGTATTCGGGGAGAGATAAGACCAGGAATGGAGTAGGCATTATTGTGGCGTGTGACTATGTTGAGGATGTGGTAGAAGTCTTTAGGAAGAACGATCACATCATGAGCATTAAATTGGTGATAAGGGGTGAGATTGTGTCTGTGGTAAGTGCCTATGCACCACAAGTGGGATTGGATGCATCTACAACTCAACAGTTCTGGGAAGATCTTGAAGAAGTGTGCGATGAGTGCCAAGGGGAGAGAAGTTGGTCATAGGAGGCGACCTCAACGGGCATGTGGGCTCGAGTCGTGATGGCTTTGGGAGTATTCATGGCGGACGTGGTTTTGACACTAGAAATGAAGCGGGAAAGAACATTTTGGATTGTGTCTCGGCGTATGAGTTGGCTATAATGAACACTTAGTTTAGGAAAAGAGATTCTCACCTTGTAACCTATAGAAGTGGAGCTAATAGTACCCTAATTGACTACTTCTTAGTACGACCTACTTGGAGAACTAGCTACACTGATTGTAAGGTTGTCCCAGGTGAGAGTGTTGTCCCTCATCATAGGATTCTTGTGCTTGACTTTCGAGGTAAGAACCATAGAAGACAAGTTAAGCAACAAGTGGAGCCAAAGATAAAGTGGTGGAGGCTTGAGGGAGATCTTCAACAAAGCTTTACACACAAAATGTTCGGTGAAGAAGTATGGCGTATTGATAATGGAACACATGTGGAGGATGCGTGGTTATCAATGGAGCTGACTATTAACAAAGTGGCAAAGGAGGTACTTGGAGAATCTAAAGGATGTATGCCACCCAAAAAGGACACGTCTTGGTGAAATGATGAGGTGAAACAAGCCATAAGAAACAAAAAAGATTGCTACAAAAAGCTGGGGACAAGTCGGAGTGATGAGAACATAGAAGCATACAAGGAGGCTAGAAGACAAGCCAAGAAAGCCGTAAAGGAAGCACAAGGGAAAATGAACAAGGAGTTGTATGAAGAATTGGACTTTAAGAAAGGAGAACAAGATATCTATACACTTGCTCGTCTTCGTGATCGCAGGACTCAAGATATCGGAAAAGTTAAATGTGTGAAGGATGTCAATCAAAGGATATTAATGGAGGACAGAGAGATAAAAGAGAGTTGGAGGTTATACTTTGATACATTGTTCAACGGGAACAAAGTGCAAGATATCGGTGATTTGACCATACCAGATTGTATGGTAAATCGTGATTTTGTGAGAAGGATCCAACCAACGGAAGTTAAAGAGGCTCTGAGGAAGATGGGGCGGAATAAAGCAGTGGGTCCATATGGCATACCGATCGAGTCTTGGAGAAGTTTGGGAGAGAGAGAGAGACATCAGGTGGTTAACAAATTTCTTCAACAAGATTTGGAGAAACAACAAGATGCCAACGAGTTGGAGAAAGAGTACTCGAATTCCCTTATTTAAGAATAAAGGTGGTGTACAAGAATGTGCCAACTGTCGAGGGATTAAGCTTATTAGTCATACCATGAAACTTTGGGAGCGAGTGATTAAGCAAAGACTTCGAAGAATGGTGAAGATTTCAGAGAATCAAATCGGTTTTATGCCTGGTCGCTCAACAACTAAGGCTATTCACCTTCGGTAACTTATGGGGAAGTATAGAGACGCTCACAAGGATTTGCATTTAGCGTTCATTGACTTAGAAAAGGCATATGATAGGGTACCTCAAGAAGTTCTTTGGTGGGCCTTAACTAGAAAAGACATTTCACGCAGGTATATCAACATCATCATGGATATGTATGAGGATTGTACTGCAAGTTTCCGTACTAGTGTAGGGAGGACTGCAGAGTTCCCTATTACTATCGGAGTGCACTAAGGATCGGATCTGAGCCCTTTTTTATTTGCCATAGTCATGAATGAATTTACCAAGTCAACTCAAGACGATATACTGTGGTGCATGATGTTTGTCGACGATATTGTATTGATTGATGAGACGCAATGAGGGGTTAAAGCAAAGTTGGAAGTATGGCGACAAACATTAGAGAACAAGGGTTTCAGACTAAGTAGGAGCAAGACAGAGTACATGGAGTGCAAGTTTGATGGAGGTAAAAGCAGTGGTAATAGCGTAATTACTTTAGATAGTAAGGAGATATCGGTCAGCGATATGTTCTATTACTTGGGCTCCATAATTCAGAAGGACGGTGAGTTAGATGGAGATGTATCCCATAGAATCAAAACAGGGTGGATGAAGTGGAAGAGTGCGTCAGGATTTCTATGCGATCGAGGTATGTCGACTAGACTGAAGGGTAAATTTTACAGGACAACAATTAGGTCTGCATTATTGTATGGCACAAAGTGTTGGGCGGTGAAACAATGTCACATTCAAAAGATGAGTGTGGCAGAGATGCGCATGCTGTGTTGGATGTGTGGGCATACTAGAAAGGACCGCGTGAGGAATGAGACAATTAGACAAAGGGTGGGAGATTGGCTTATAATTCAGAAGGATGGTCAGCGATATGTTCTATTACTGCGTGAGGAATGAGACAATTGTCTAATTGTCCATTGGACAATTAGACAAAGGGTGGGAGATATCGATCATCGATATGTTCTATTACTTGGGCTCCATAATTCAGAAGGACGGTGAGTTAGATGGAGATGTATCCCATAGAATCAAAACAGGGTGGATGAAGTGGAAGAGTGTTTCAGGATTTCTATGCGATCGAGGTATGTCGACTAGACTGAAGGGTAAATTTTATAGGACAACCTATAAAATTTATAGTCTATTATAACTTGGTTGTTAATACATATTCCCAGTCTATATTATCCGATTAAAAGAGCCAAAATTTTTATAACTCTTGTT